CAAATATGCATAAAAGAAAATAAAATGATAACTCAAAAGTTCAAGGTATCAAAGAAAAAAGGATAACAATACTTTATGTCAGGTTGCTGGATACATAGGACTGCGTCTATCTCCCGACCCGCTATATGGATTGTGACACGTTGTTCTTTGCTAGGCGAGTTCCAACATCTTAAGTTGTCTGTTCTTTAAGAAATTGGTTCTTGGTGTGTCTTCAGGCGAAAGTCGAAAAACTTATTTTGGTGGTACGGATCTAAGTCGCTCTTCAAAATAAATTTTTCTTGGATTGAAGATGAGTTCGGAAGTTGCGCGAATCTTAGTCAGCTGCGAGGCCTGCTTCAACTGAACACTCTTCTCTGCTGAACTCTCCGGGAAACTCTCCGGGGAACTCTACTCTCCGAGAAACTCTGATTTTCGCTCGCTGCGAAAACACAGTCGACCGTCGTCTCGAAAAAACAGTTCCATCCTCCTAGTCGTATTTGCATTCTTGGTGCCAATTTCTGATAATATTGTTTCGCCCTTATCGCTTCATTCTAACAAAACCCAGACCTTGTCTAACGATATCTTTCCCGACGAAGACTTAACCTATTTCCTTTTGTTTTCCTTAGTTCGTGGGTGGTCAGCAGTCCGTGACACAGCTAAATGTTTCTTATCTATCCAAAACTTTATATTCACCTGCTTTCTGTCAGACAGCTCTACGACACCGGCGGCCAGAATTTTTACTATTTTTTTTTCATTATGCAATTAACATTGTCAAGGTCTCCGAGTTTTCTGCTAGCCAGTGTTAAGTGGCTGTTATCTATCCCCGATAAAACAAGCTCGCCACCAGAACACAGTCGATCTTCTTATCCACTTTTTCTGCAATGGTAATGACACCTTTTCGCCATTTGCTGGTTATCAAAATAACATTGTCAATGTCCCCGGTCGTGGGTGGTTTCTTTTATCATCTACGCTTAAGTCTCGCCTATCTTTTCCTTTCTTTCCTTTCTCTTTTTCCTTTCTTTTCCTTTTTGTCCTATTAAATGGTGGCACATCACAAACTTAATTTTAAAACAATGTGCGTTAATTGACTCCTTTACATAGGAAATCACAAAAGCTATAAATACAAATAGAATAAAATCTATTATTAATAATCTATTATTATTAATCTATTATTATTACTCTATTATTATTAATCTATTAGAATAAAATCTATAATTATTAATCTATTATTATTATTATTAATCTCTTAGAATAAAATCTATTATTATTAATCTATTATTATTAATCTATTATTATTAATCTATTAGAATAAAATCTATTATTTTTAATCTATTAGAATAAAATCTATTATTTTTAATCTATTATTAATAATATGTTATTATTAATCTATCATTATTAATCTATTAGAATAAAATCTATTATTTTTAATCTATTATTAATAATATGTTATTATTAATCTATCATTATTAATCTATTAGAATAAGATCTATTATTATTACTCTATTATTATTAATCTATTATTATTAATCTATTAGAATAAAATCTATTATTATCAATCTATTATTATTAATCTATTATTATTAATCTATTATTATTAATCTATCATTATTAATCTATTAGAATAAAATCTATTATTATTACTCTATTATTATTAATCGATTATTATTAATCTATTAGAATAAAATCTATTATTATCAATATATTATTATTAATCTATTATTATTAATCTATTAGAATAAAATCTATTATTATCAATCTATTATTATTAATCTATTATTATTAATCTATTATTATTAATCTATTATTATTAATCCATTAGAATAAAATCTATTATTATTAATCTCTTAGAATAAAATCTATTATTATTAATCTATTATTATTAATCTATTATTATTAATCTATTATTATTAATCTATTAGAATAAAATCTATTATTATTAATCTATCATTATTAATCCATTAGAATAAAATCTATTATTATTAATCTCTTAGAATAAAATCTATTATTATTAATCTATTATTATTAATCTATTATTATCAATCTATTATTATTAATCCATTAGAATAAAATCTATTATTATTACTCTATTATTATTAATCTATTATTATTAATCTATTAGAATAAAATCTATTATTATTAATCTATTATTATTAATCTATTATTAATAATCTATTAGAATAAAATCTATTATTATTACTCTATTATTATTAATCTATTATTATTAATCCATTAGAATAAAATCTATTATTATTAATCTATTATTATTAATCTATTATTAATAATCTATTAGAATAAAATCTATTATTATTAATCTATTATTATTAATCTATTATTATTAATCTATCATTATTAATCTATTAGAATAAAATCTATTATTATTAATCTATTATTATTATTAATCTCTTAGAATAAAATCTATTATTATTAATCTATTATTATTATTTCTTATTATTATTTCCCCTTCAGTGACTTCTTAGTCTATTTAAGCCTTGCAATATCAAAACAAGCTTTGGAGTTTTTT